GGACAGAAATTAAAAACATGGACTTTTTTCACAAATAGAGCAAAGGATGCTAAACTAACAAAAGGAGAAGCCACATCAGAACCAAAACAGGACCCGGACATACCCGGACAGACGGTACATTTATATAGTGAGTCTAAGCCATTAATCCAGCCTCACGAATCTCAGCCAATAAACCTGGCACAAATAAACAAGACAATACATACAACCGAACGCTGTCATCAGCACAAGCTGTTTGCAGCAGGTTGCACATTGTCGATATTTATTTGTCTTTATTTCTTTCTGTTCGTTCAGTCAGAACTCGATTCCTCTGTTGGGTTCCATCCTGTGATATCGTTTTGCTATTATATATAAAACCGCTGCAGATAGTTCTGTCACCTCTTATCAATGTGTGTCCCATACTTTCTTTTGCACGTTCCTTATTCGTCAGTCTATATGTCTCTCATTTAAGTTCAAGGCTTGTCATTACTTCCAAGCTCCTATTCATCTCGGGCCTAAAAAAGTGTCTTCTCTGTTTGATAATTGTGCTGGATATATGTTGCTGACCCAGTTATCTGAAGTTATTTTTTAAATGGGCAGAGTTCAAGAAAGGGAAACAAACCAGAGAGACTCGAGACAGTCACTGTGGTCGATTGTTTAAAGAGAAAGAATATGACGACATTCCATGGCTAACCAGGTTCATACGCAGAAGTGATGTCGTTGCAGACAAAAAGAACATATTATCTCATAAAGCTAAGAATTGTATATAAACACACACATACATGCATATATATATATATATATATATATATATATATATATATATATATATATATATATATATACATATATATATATTCATACACATATACATACACATACACATACACATACACATACATGCATATATATATATGTATATATATATATATATATATATATATATATATATATATATATATATTCACACACATACACATACATGCATATATCTATATATATATATATATATATATATATATATATATATATATATATATATATTCACACACATACACATACATGCATATATCTATATATATATATATATATATATATATATATATATATATATATATATATATATTCATACACATATACATACACACATACACATACACACACACACATACACATACACATACAAACATTATATTTTTTAGTGTCTCACATCTCAAGCCATATGAACCCATTTTGCCCACGTCTCTTCTTCTTCTTCTTCTTTCGTTCGCCTGAAATAAGTTGTCTATATCAGCAGTTTTGTCTCTTGTATAAATTTCACTGTCGTTGTTAGTTCATTCAGTGGTCCATCGAGTTTACGTTCCAGTTGTTCTTTCTGGCCAAAAGGTTTTGCCTTAATGTGTCAAAATCGGTGCAGTCCTTGAGTACATGCTCTGCGGTCTGGGGCACATTTCCACAGGTGCACATGGTTGATACACCTATCTTGAATTTTGTGTACATGTGGTTACGTAATCGGTTGTGCCCTGTTCTGAGGCGGAAGATAATGACTTGTTCTGGTCTGTCCATAATAAAATAGTCGTCTTGTGCTGGGGCTGGTGGTTTCCTGATCGATTTAATGATTCTTTTCTTTTGGTGGTATGTGACTGGTACATCTGGCTGCTCTTTTGTCGCACCTTCCCCTGCCAGTTGATCAGCTTTCTCATTTCCAGGCTCTCCACAATGGGACGGTATCCACTGCATTACGACTTTTCGCTGAACGCTGAGTTGTGTCAGCAGTGTTTGCAATTCTGGTAGTTTCCTAGACTGGAGTGCTTCAAGTACTGATTTAGCATCTGTAAGCATTACCACATACTGTGAGCCAAGGTTGGTAATTAGCAGTTTCTCTGTAGCTATCTTAATAGCCTGGGTTTCTGCATCATAGTTATGGCAGTACTTCCCGGTTGGTACGCTGGACTTATCCCTAGTACCATCTGGGAATTCGATGTACACTCCAGCACCACCATTTATAACTGCACTTTCTGCGGACCCATCTGTGTCTCACATCTCAAGCCATATGAACCCATTTTGCCCACGTCTCTGTTACCATCATCATCCAGTGCCTTACGACTGTCGTAGGCGATCATCCCTCTGGCCAGCCGTGAATTTAGCACGCAACATATATATCACCCATGTGCTAGCGCGACCCTCACGGGAAGCAAAGCGCATTTCCAGTCATGTCGTAAGATGCAACCATGTCTGAGGTTGGGCTTGGGGTTGGCTACCTTATCCTGTAAAACCAATGGCCACCAAAACCAGCAAACCACGTTTAAGTCAAAAAGAGAAACACGACAATACAGCCAGCCAAGATGAGGGGTGTCTCTACTAGCAGAAGTATGACAAGGAGCGGGAAGTATGACAAGGAGCGGGAAGTATGACAAGGTGCGATAAGTATGACAAGGTGCGATAAGAAGGTCAAGGTGCGATAAGTATGAGAAGGTGCGATAAGTATGACAAGGTGCGATAAGAAGGTCAAGGTGCGATAACTATGACAAGGTGCGATAAGTATGACAAGGTGCGGGAAGTATGACAAGGTGCGGGAAGTATGACAAGGTGCGGGAAGTATGACAAGGTGCGGGAAGTATGACAAGGAGCGGGGAGTATGACAAGGTGCAGGCAGTAGGGCAAAGTGCGGGAAGTATGACAAAGTGCGTGAAGTATTACAAGGTGCAGGAAGTATGACAAGGTGCGGGAAATATGACAAGGTGCGGTAAGTATGACAAGGTGCGAGGAGTATGCCAAGGTGCGGGAAGTATGACAAGGAGCGGGAAGTATGACAAGGTGCTGTAAGTATGACAAGGTGCGGTAAGTATGACAATGTGCGGGAAGTATAACAAGGTGCGGTAAGTATGACAAGGTGCGGACAAAGTCGACAGGAGCCCGTTTTGTGCTTCTTCCCATCTAGGAGAGTCCCGTGAATCGGTACCTGGGATATGACAACTTGGCATTAACCGAGCTAGGAAGTGAGGGTATAAAGATGGGGATTACATGAGGTGTTCTACATGCAATACTCATGAGAGAACGGCTAGGTGTCAGTTTGTTGAGGGCCTACGCGCCTTTGGGGGGGGGGGGGTGTTTAAAAGGCAGAATCCACACACACACACACACATACACACACACACATATATATATATATATTATATATATATATATATATATATATATATAATATATATATATATATATATATATATATATATATATATATATATACACATATATATAAGAAGGAAGTTTATGTTTTGCCTTGGCTAATTATTTGATATTATCTGTCGATACAGGCATACGCATGGGTGTCCATCATCTTCGTCTTCATTTCCATATTCTCTTTCTGCGCGGAGACACATCCAACATTCAAGGTCAAAGCCAAGGACGTGACCCAGTTTGCAAGATTCTACGACTTCCTCAGCCTAGAATCCATCGACTGGTCCAAGTTGATGCCCCAGAAGAATCAAACCTCAAAACCACACACAAACTACACACACAGCTCGGAGCCTACAAATATTCCTACACTCGACTTCGGTCTCAGTAAAAAGACCAATTCAAGTTCTCGGAAAATTACCAAGAGATCCGCAGGCATACATGACTACATCCTCAACTGTAATGCAAGATCAGCTTTTCTTAACATTGAAGAAAAGAAAAACAATACAGACCTGGGCGAAAAGGATTTGCCTCATCCAGCCCTTCTTTTGTTGGATCTCATCTGCCTTACATTCTTCACCATGGAGTATCTCACCCGATTTTTGTGCTCTCCCAGTAAAACTTTTTTTGTCCGTGCGCTTCAGAATATTGTGGACTTCCTGGCGTTTGCTCCGGATTATGTCGAGTTAGTGTTTTTAATTTCCGATCATCATCAGACCGAAGGGGTAGCCATAATGGAGATGCTATTTATTCTAAGAATTTTGAGATTATGCCGAATTTTCCGACTGATTCGGCACGTCCCCGGTCTGTGGATTCTCCTGTACACACTTCGGGCCAGTTTTAACGAGTTAATGCTCATGTGTGTCTTCCTTCTCATAGGAATGGTCGTCTTTGCAACCCTGGTCCACTTCGTGGAGCCAGATGGAATTTTCAACAACATTCCAGTGGGATTTTGGTGGAGCGTAGTTACTATGACAACAGTTGGGTACGGTGATATGTATCCTCAGTCACCCGCGGGATTTTTTATCGGTTCTTGCTGTGCTGTTGCGGGGCTGCTGATGATAGCATTCACCGTTCCTATCATCGTCAGCAACTTTGTGCTGTACTATACTCACGTACAGTATGGACTTGCACGGCGAGACAGGGAATTAGAAAGACGCCGAGAAGAGGACGAGTCCGAATTTTTCAACAGTCGAGGCCGCATGGATATAGACAGGATGGAATCGATAGCTTCCCTGATAGTGGGACTGAACGAGGAGCCTTCTATGACACACAATAGGCATACCTGTGCACTTATCACTAATATCTCTGAGGTACAGACTTCCAGACTCAATGTCGAGTCGTTGACACTAGATACAGATGGTCAAACGTAAACTATGAGGAATAACAAATAAGTGCCTAGCTTTATGCAAAGTTTCATTGTCCTAGTATGCCATTGTGTATCTAACAGAACTCTCAGTCTATGTCTTCATTTCGTTCCCTTCTGTGCAATCACTTCGATGACATGGATGGAAGCTACTTCCTCTCATCTAGGGAAGTCTCGTGAATCGGTACCTGGAATATTACAGCTTGGCATTAACCGAGCTAGGGAGTGAGGGTTTAAAGATAGGGATTACATGAGGTGTTCTACATGCAATACTCGGCTTGGCGTCAGTTAGTTGAGGGCCTAAGCCTAAGGCAGATGCACATGCTCTTATCACTAATATCTCTGAGTTACAGACTTCCAGGCTCAAATTCGAGCCTTTAACACTAGATACAGATGGCCGCCCGACAACTGTGAGGAATGACGAATAAGTGTCTAGCTTTATACAAAGTTTCATACCCCTGGTATGCCATTATGTGTCAGATAGGGCTCTCATTCTATTTCTCCATGTCGCTCCGTTCTGTGCAATCGCTTCGATGACATGCCTAGTCGCTAGTTTAGCATTTGGGGTATTGTTTCAGTAAAATTAATTAGCTAAATGTAATCCGATAGTTTACAAGAACTGTTAATAACCGTCAGTCAAAATCCACCCAGGTAAATTTAGGTGTGCTAGATGGCTCAGTTTTATATCTACTAATTTTTACCACGTATATTAACGATCAGGCAAACTACTGGACGTAAATGCCTAGAAAAACCACACAACAGCAAAGTGCTGATGGGGTTGGTTCTGCAACGTCATGTAAAGGATACGCAACTAACCTATATTAACGACCTTCCATTACATCTCAGTATAGCATGCAATCTATATGCTGACGACTGTACAATATATACTAGTCCCGAAAATTACAAAGAATTGGGAAGTTCTTTACAGAAAGAGGTAAATAATCTTATCATGTGTAGCAATAGCAATCGCATGCAAGTTAACATAAATAAGACCAAATCTATGCTCATCACGCCGACCACCCAACGGACAGTTTTACAAGAGGGCAGGGGTCTAAAATGTCTTCCTAACCTGAAATTGAAGTTTCCTTTTTGAATATTTGTTTTTATATTTCACATTATTTCAAATATTTTATTTATTTGTATTTTATTGTTGAAATGTCATCCAGATTAAGACTAAAACCAACTGAAGATCCTTCTTCCTGTTTTTGTTGCCTCTGGAAAATCTGTGAAGTGGGTTGTGAACTTATTTATCTCAGCGTGTATTTTGTGTCGGTGCTTCTGACTGTGGTTCCAAGCTAGCTAATTCGACACCTCGAGCAGTAAAAGAAAAAGTGAAGAACAAAGTGCAGGATACAACTAATTGGTGTAGACATTACGGGTGCCCTAACTGTTCAAGAGATCAAACGGAACATCTGAGATCTGCCTTGTTGATCTGCCCTCCAGAGTGACATTTTTTAAATCAAAGGATGGCATGGTAAACCTTTCGGAAGCAGCATATTTAGGGGATTAACTGATCGATCGTTCGGTTAACTCGAAATCCCTCTGCCTGGTCCTTACTTGGGTTGCTTCTTAATCATTGTAGATCCCACAACAATCTCGCTGCGGAACTGACTAACTGGTATATTTACATGTATGATTCTCGTTTTTAAGGTTTTAATCCTGCAATCTGTAACCCTGAAGAGGACAAACTGCATTGAAACGAGGTAACTAAAGAAATCTTAGAATAGTAAAGAGCCTTTTTTTTTTTCTATCTAGTTCATACCTGAAGGTTAGTCTCCCCCGCCAATCACAGTCACCCTAGACGACAGTCCAAGCTGGCAGATTCTAGATATCCTGGTAAGGTCATGACAATGTTTAATTATGGCACCTACATGTGACAATCAGAATATCTGGCCGACCACTAGTAGCAACATGTACAAGACAAAACAAGATGGCGCTACATTGGAAGCATCCCGCTAAGAAACCAGCAGAGAATCAACAAACAAGCATGGAGGACGTCAAAATGTTGAATGTTAAAGTAATAATCGACATTATAACACGCTGGACAATCACATATGTACTCCGTCTCCATATTTAGGCAAGCAAGCAAAGAATTCCAATTTTGAATGTACCAGTAACTGTCTGATTGTAATCCGTCTCGCCTTTTCCTTGAGTGTTGAGCGTCGACCAGATCCCCTGGTAACTCCTCCTAGCGCCATTCTCCTCAAACATCTATCTGTGCCTCTGCAATGCTAATCAATTTTATATAACCTAGTCATAATTGAAACCTAAAGCCTCCCCCCCCCCTCTCCCCCATCCCCTTCTTCTTCAGGGATGCTAGTTAAACGTGACGATTTAATTTTTTTTTTTCTCTATTAAAGTACGTACCTACCTAAAACCTCTGGCACACGTCGCCGTAGCTTCCAATCTCGTACTTTGTTCGACGCTCTCGGCACGCGGATAACTATTCTGTGAGAAAGGACCGAACCATTTGGTGATTTAACCGATGCGAGGAAGATGATGCTCTCGTCTTTAACTTTCGTGCCCTGTGGTATTCTGATGTGCCTAACGAATCTGTCACTATAGGACATGTTTTAATCTGTACAACACTGGTGCCTCATTGTATTCTAATGTGCCTAACGAATCTGTCACTATAGGACATGTTTTAATCTGTACAACACTGGTGCCTTATTGTATTCTAATGTGCCTAACGAATCTGTCACTATAGCAAATGTTTTAAATCTGTACAATGCCGGAGTCGTATGACTCTTTGTGTATGTCATATTTCACCCCATGGAATTCTAAAGTGTGTAAGTATTCATGTTTTAAAGGTAGTGTTGTGCTAACCACATCACCCTCCCACCAAGTGCCGATTAATCTAAAAATTATAGGTCTGGCCCTACATGCCCAATACACCTAAGGGCGTGGAAAAGCCTACTTTCCTTTACTTAACTTCACTTTCATGTTTTAAAATACAAATGTGTCATCATTTCGTTAAGTATTTCACATATTACATTGTACAATAAAAACGCAGTATACTTTTGTTAAATATTTCATGTTTTGTGCAGTGGAGTAAATTTGTTTTAAGTTACCCTACAAAAATAAACCAAGAATCAGGTGCAAAAACAACATCAGAAGAACGTTACAACTGCACCATGTGTCTATAGCTAAGGTGGCCCAAAGAATAAGTAGCAGAACCTCATATCTCCCTCGACAAAAGAAGCTCTGAAAAACGAAGCAGCCGAGTTTGTTGTAGTTGTTTGTTTGAGTATCCAGAAGCCATGAGTGGTTAACCCTTAGGCTCGGTATTATGGATATCGCAACCTTTCGGCCTTGATTCCATTGTAAATACCGTAAATCTGGGAGAAATGTGTCTTTTCTGCCTACCCCCGGGCGTGAACCCGGACCACAAGGAGTTCGTCATCTGGTCACCGCGCAATCCGGTTTAGCCAACTACGCTAGAGAGCCGGGCGAAGCAGCTGAGAAGAAAAATAACCTCTTCTCACAGTATTTTGTCGTTGCGAACTCGCTTCGTAATGCCGGGCTACCGGGTTCAATCACAGCTGCGGATGGGTTTTCTTGCCTTGTTTTCGACAGTGGTACCGAAAGCTGACCGCTGAGACGTAATGGCAAACTACTGAGCGTCAAATTTGCTTTAAAATACCACAACAACCAACAAAAAAAAAAATGCTGGGTTTGCTTTCACAACGTATTGTAAAGGATAAACAAGTAACCATCTTTTTTTTTTATTTTAAACTGTATTTTACAACATCGGTGGGAGATTAAAATGCTTTTGCTCTTAGCTCCATTGATGGTCCCCGGTAACTAATGAACGATTTGCTCTATCAACTCTCCAGCTGTCTATTGTTCATTGTAAATCTTTCATTAAGGTCGTGTCCTATTACAGTGCTAGCTGGTATGTAAATGTACTCGCTTTTGCTGGCTGGTCAAAGTTGAAATCAAGAGAACAAAAGGTACATCGCGATACAAGGTGGAGGATAGCAATACAAGATGGACAAGCAGCGGTATCCTAGAGACTGAAAAGACGACAGTGTACTGGAGATCAGTTGCAATACAACTTTATTTTGAGGACGACACCTTGTCGAGTGATAGAGATTTTATTTTCAATTTATCTCTTATCCACATGTTTTGCGTAGAAGATATTTAAGTCACCTTTCATCCGCTGATTTTCACTGTCATATTTCACTCGTTGATACTGAATGTAATTCTTAATCCGTTGATTTTTGGAGTCATATATTTCATGTGTTGGATCAAAGTGCAGACATTTCCTCAAGGTAAGTTTTTCTTGTACGTGTTGAAAGATACAAACCAAATTCAATTCCTGTGTTGATATTTTAATGTTGTTGGTCGGATGTGAATCCTCTGGAACACTGAATTTTTACAGAAAGGAACTTTTATTAATCGAAGTTATGCTTGTGTAAACACACATCTTCTGACTCACTACCAAATAATCATCTTCGCTAGTCTATGATGGCAGAATGTTAAACTGGCCAGCGAGCCCATTTCTGAACCGTGAGAATAGAAGATCGTTTGTTTGCTTCCTCTGGTGTGTTCTTTGGTCTTGTTCAAGAACTTTAGTTGTGCATGTCCATCCAATTAAGAGTTTCAGCTTTTGTGTGTGCAGACTGTTAGTTTCTTGCCTCTCATGCACATACAATCCATCTTCGAAGGAAATTAGTAAATTTTTGCGGTGTTAGATGCGCAGACGTTTTTTTTTAACCCAAAAATGGGCTAGCTTGGCCAGCACAGGGAGGTCTCATTAAGTGTGTCGGTTTATTTTATTGTTTTTTTTTTTTACTTCCGCTTAGTCTGTGGTATAAGTTGATTTATTCTCACATCGCTTGGGACAGTAAAAAGATTACCAGAATCGCACCCTTTCGGTTTTTAAAATATACAGCAAGGTCTTATATCTGATAGTGTCGGTCTTATTCTGGTTAACAGAGCCTCTAAAAAGCCTGGTGTGCCTCTCGTACCTGGCTGTATTAGGTCTCTATTCGTTGTTAAGATTTCTATACTTCACATGTTCAGTTTGTCTCATGTAACATCAACACAAACATGGAAACATTTTTCTTCTGTCCATCTCATCACTTTGATGCCAATCATCACCTGGTTTGATTATCGTCGAGTGTTGTGTAGAGATGCTGGTTTCCATGGCGATCTTTGCCACCACCAGATGCAAGCTTTCCACCACATTGTAGAAGTGACCAGTATCCATCTCCATATATGGCATTCCTCGGCTCTCGGCGTATTTCCGGGCAACTTGCGCCGGAATTTCACGATTGGTGGCGGTACAGTTGGATCCGATGACTACTCGTACACATGATGATGCTGATGAGAACGTGTCCAAATCACAGAGCCTGTTATTAAAAAAATAGAAGTTCCATAATTAAAATACAGTGTTGCCTTGGTATCAGTACTTGATCGGTTATTGTTCCTTTGACTACCGAACAGTACGTATACTAAAGACATTTTTCCGCATAAGAAATAAAGAGAGAATGGTTAATCCTTGTTAAAGTGAACAAACAATTATCTTCAAATTAGCATATTACACTTTGTTATATCTTGTAAATACTGCCTAATTCTTCTTCTACTTCTTCTTCTTCTTCTTCTTCTTCTTCTTCTTCTTCTTCTTCTTCTTCTTCTTCTTCTTCTTCTTCTTCTTCTTTTTCTTCTTCTTCTTCTTCTTCTTCTTCTTCTTCTTCTTCTTCTTCTTCTTCTTCTTCTTCTTCTTCTTCTTCTTCTTCTTCTTCTTCTTCTTCTTCTTCTCTTCCACCAATTACCTGAGCAAGGTGTTGGGGGAGATGCAAGAATCGTTTGTGTTGAGTGTCTACTTGGATGGTACAAGTGAGGACAAGAGTTGAGTGTCTACCCGGATGGTACAAGTGAGGAGAAGAGTTGAGTGTCTACTTGGATGGTACAAGGGAGGAGAAGAGTTGAGTGTCTACTTGGATGGTACAAGGGAGGAGAAGAGTTGAGTGTCTACCCGGATGGTACAAGGGAGGAGAAGAGTTGAGTGTCTACCCGGATGGTACAAGGGAGGAGAAGAGTTGAGTGTCTACCCAGATGGTACAAGGGAGGAGAAGAGTTGAGTGTCTACCTGGATGGTACAAGGGAGGAGAAGAGTTGAGTGTCTACCCGGATGGTACAAGGGAGGAGAAGAGTTGAGTGTCTACTCGGATGGTACAAGGGAGGAGAAGAGTTGAGTGTCTGCTCAGATGGTACAAGGGAGGAGAAGAGTTGAGTGTCTGCTCAGATGGTACAAGGGAGGTACAGAGTTGAGTGTCTACTCGGATGGTACAAGGGAGGTACAGAGTTGAGTGTCTACTTGGATGGTACAAGGGAGGTACAGAGTTGAGTGTCTACTCGGATGGTACAAGGGAGGTACAAAATTGAGTGTCTACTTGGATGGTACAAGGGAGGAGAAGATGTAACTATTTGGAAAGAAAGTCCCCTTGTGATAATCCTGTCTCTTGTCGATACTTGGACCTGGCCCAGTATCATCAGGTTTAAGTTTGACCTAAAATCTGTCCAAAGAACGTCACTCCAGCCTTCTGCTGAGGGTGTTTGGGAAATGTGACATATTCTAGACAATTCTGTTACCGTTTGTTTTGAGCTAATACTTCCCTGCAAAGTCATTGCCATCTTTCCGTGGCTTTGTTCTGAACAAAGATTGCATAAGGTGTCGTGAAAAATTTTAATAAGTACAAGTTCGTATTCCAAAATTAAAGTCGTATATGAAACAAACGTTTTTGCGCGTATACTCAGTTGAACTCTTACCAGAGCGAACACATACCGAGGTACGACAGAACATTTATTTTTGTTCCTCTTCCCTCCCCCCTTCCCCGTCCTTCCAGTCAGAATTTGGAGTTAAAAATCTACCCGAAGTATTTCAGGATCCTCGCTGGTGCTACAGAGTCTGTGCACTGTGCTGAGCTTCTTCGGACTCAAAACTTGAGTTGGAAGAAGAACGGACCACTTATGGGTTACTGCCCGTGTGCCGTGATGTTGATCCGTTGTTCAAAACATCAAATAGAAAACAAACGCTGACTCGTGATGATGCTGAATTATTCTCTCCATTCTACTCTCAAATCTCATGTCTGCACATCGTAAAAATGTCTCAATATTTCGCTGACTGTTCGAGATCTTACTTCACAAAATATTTCAGTCATCCGACGCCTGTCCATGATTAACTCTACAGAGTTTATCAAAGATGCACTTACTGCTTCTCTCCAGCCAGTTTCTTAATAACGTTGTGATTGTTTCACTGACTCCACATAATTTCTCAATAACGCTTTTATTGTTTCGCTGACTCCACGTAATTTCTCATAACGCTGTGATTGTTTTACTGACTTCACATAATTTCTCAATAACGCTGTGATTGTTTCACTGACTCCACATAATTTCTCAATAACGCTGTGATTGTCTCACTGACTACACATAATTTCTCAATAACGCTGTGATTGTCTCACTGACTACACATAATTTCTCAATAACGCTGTGATTGTCTCACTGACTACACATAATTTCTCAATAACGCTGTGATTGTCTCACTGACTACACATAATTTCTCAATAACGCTGTGATTGTCTCACTGACTACACATAATTTCTCAATAACGCTGTGATTGTCTCATTGACTACACATAATTTCTCAATAACGCTGTGATTGTCTAACTGACTACACATAATTTCTACATAATGATGTGACTATTTCACTGTCTCCATAGAATTTTTTTACTAATCAGCTGATTGTCCATGGTCATTTTCTCCCTAATCCACAGACTGTCCATGATTCTTCTTCTTCTTCGCGTTCACCAGCTGTACACTCTGGCGGAAAGTTCTGGTTGCCCGTCCACTACTGAACTGCAGTCCTGCTCCAGAACCTGAGTGTTGCCTATGCATCAGTTTTACAAATCTCATTCTCTTAAATACAGACTTTTGGTTCCTTGCCTCTCCGGCAGATGCACTCCGACTTCAAAGGAAGCTCCCCAATTAGTTTTTGGGGAGGCAGTGGGTCTATTCTTGTTTTCCCCACAATGGGGCCCCGGAACCCACACGGGGGGTGTCCACGATTGACTCCATGGTTGATTCTATGGTTTACTTGCTGAAAAATTTAGGTCAGCAACCGACATCTACCTCACGTGACATCATAGATAAGCCTTGCCTAGTAGATAAAGCGCCGATAAACATCTCTTTTTCTCTATCTCCCAGCTGACAGATAATTAGGTCACATGCGTGCGACTGACGTCGTTTCTTAGCATTTGACAATATTAGGGCATCTTGTACTGTTGA